AAATCAAGCAAAAGTGGGCAGGGAATAATTTTACATAGAACCTCTAGAGTGAACTGGACAGGGACAGACATAAAACAAGTTCTTAAGGACAGCACTTCCCTTCTGCATTCAATACTTCCCTGTTCAAAATTATACAAAAGCAATTTAATCCTTTTTTACTGTTCCCCTATGCAAATCACTTCCCAGACTTCTGATAGACTTGGGGTTTGTCAGCCTCACCAGCCAGCTTCCCCAGAAGAAGTGGCAGGCAGGAAAAGCCAAATAGCAGACAATTAAAATCTGAAGTGAACTCAGACAATTTCCTGAATACATCAGTGAGGTAACGGTGAGAGCAGACAGCAGCTGGACTGAGAGTGCAGAAAAGCAAATGGGGATCACTGACAACCAGTGCTCTCTGGAGACTTTCCTCGTGCTGACTTTGTTACTTGATCCGAATTTGGAGCCTATTCAGTATTGGGATTCAGACCAGACTCTAAGTAGAATAAAGGGTAAAAGCCTTTTATAGGTAAAAGATCTGCCCCAAGGCAAGAAGTCTGTAAGTTGCTAAACCATCCTTCTAACTAAAGGCAAATTTTTGTAGGTTTATAGTAAAAAAACGTGATGGGACAGGTGAATATATATTATAAAATGATAGTGTATGAATGTTTTTGTCATGTGTGTTGTCTGATGACTAGAAACTGAAGGTAATTGGTCTTGTTTGGACTGTTTTAGACATGAAAATGAGGCAAAGGCTGTGTGCCAAGCAGCTTGAATGTTGGAGTTTGAAAAAGTTATTTAAGGAGCAAAAATCTGTTTTTTCAAATGCCTACTAGGAAAAGTTCTTAGGTGCATCTCTTGGCTTACCTGGATTGGAAAGTGTGTATGGTTAAGGCAAACTAGCTGAAGTCTTTTTCTGAAGACTGTACTTTGTTCATGTGCTTCTAAATATGATGTGTGAACACTAGAGTGTGAATTTTGGTTAAATTCTGTGACAGAACCTCAATCAGTTACAACAGGAAAATTCTTTAGAGTCTGTTACTCAATTGTATTTCAGTAACTCAAGGTAAATGGTACAGGAACGTTAGAAACCGAGGTACAAGTCCACCAGCAGTACTAGAAGTAGACAAAACGCTTATAAAACCAGATGGACTGCTGTGCAGTTATTATTCTGAGACTTGTACAGTTTGTAACCTGAGATGGAGACGTTATGTCATTGATGGAGAAGGTCTTGGCAAAGCTTCTGGCATAATCCGTGATAGAAGTAAAAACTGGATACACAGAATGTATTTATGTGATGAAGGTATCTTTTGGTATATAGAACACACTTGTCTAGACATTGAGGAGGACAATATCCTAGAATAAAACTAAATGGAATAATAATGGATGACTGTTTTTCTTCGCCTTTTGTTTATATGAGAAATACAGACTTGGTGGTACTTAGGCGGAGAAGGAACGCTGGAAAGACTGCTGTAGATTGTTCATACAGAGCCTTTGACAACATAACTGTTACCGACTATTGTTGAACTAGAATATCAACCCACCAACCTTCTCTTGAACAGCAGTGCTGCAGACAACAGCACCTACGAAAGGAGGTATATGATGCAGTATATGCGCAAATGCCTACTGAGGGGAAAATTGTAGCTCTTTGGAAGTAACTGGTACAGCAAACTGCACATAGAATTCCTTAGCTTGCCTGGGTAAATTCAGAACTAATTCTTGTTCATCCCTGTATTTTTATTCCTGTTTATTGTTTTCCAAGCAATAAATGAATAGCACTCTGCTCACATATTCTCACATATGATATAATACTACCATCAAGGCAAGGGAAAGAAAGGCCTTTAGCATTTGATCACAGCAATGCAAGAATGTTCCGGTAAATCATTACCAGAGCAATGCCCATGTTCCTTTTGGTAGTGACTTGCCCTAAACACGTTTGAAGCAATAACATTCTTGCACAGAAAGTCAGGACTGTAAACACATGGCCATAAAGCCATTACACATATGGGCAATACAAACTAAATATGAAAAAAAAAAAATCAGGCCAGGAGAAACATCTTAAGTACATGCATGACATGCTAACCATAGCACACAGCATAATCACCACCATGATGTTAATGACTGGCACTAGTACAGCACACTGATTCCAGAGGTTAAGTCTAATGAGATGAGTTTTTACAAAAAGCTTAGTTCCAAAGGAAAACCAAATTTTTTAAGGGCCAATAGATAAAATCTACAATACAAGACAAACTGTTCGACAGACTGTTCCGCCTGGTGCTCTATATTTCTAAAGTGTGCAGTGGATCACAAGCTGAGGAGTTAGGCATTTGGTTTGTAATGTTAACCAGATGATCTTTTATGTGCAAATGATATAAACAGAAGAAAATGTGCCTTTTCAACATAGAATCTTTTTTAGATCATCATGATATTCACACTACTTACTCTTGTATGTATTTTTTGATTCTTTCCTTTTTCAGGGTACTGATTTTAGAAACAAATGATTGCAGGAGGTTCCCTGTAGTTTATTTTTTGTCTGGAAGAGATTTTGCTGTTTAACAAATCATAAAAGTATTTTTCATTCTGAAATGGACTCCAGACCTCATTAAATTAATAGCTTTTCCTAGTTCCAAGATAGCATATCTTTTCTATGCTCATTTTCCTATCACTTTATGGAGCTAGCTTGCTTAGCTAGGGAAATAATTTGGCAGAGAGAAGGATGTCCTAGAGTGGCGTTCACTGCTTGAGAAGTCAGTGCAAAAACAGCCTTTGAAAGACTGTTGTTTTTTTTTTTTTTAACACAAAAACTGAAATTGTGGCACCCGTTGTCTAATTGCTGTTACATGTGAATGGAACAGGAACTGTAGTAGCTGCATTTGATTATAATCACATCCCAGTGGAAGAACGGAAGTGTGGTAGAATTTGAGAGAGCACCACTGGCTAGCATATCCTAGCAATATTTCTTCTCCAATTATCAGACTATACTGCAAGCCTGGAGAAAGAAGAAAGCGTACTCTGTGATGCTTACCTATAGATAACTGTTAAATGAGCGCTCACTCCTTACTTCTGCCCTCGCTTGCCTTCTCCTTCCTCTTGTCCTTTTGAATGGTGAGCAAGAGAACTAACAGGACTTCTATCATATAACTTCACCCAAATATTAACCAGATTTTTGCTCAATAAACCTCTTGTATTTTCCTTTTCTTTGACAACACTGGCTAGCCTGAATTACTCATCACCAGCATGTGTGGGTTTCTTCTCTAGCATTTTGTTACTCTGATGTAACTACATTACTATGGAGCTTGTGATGAGTAAAGTATCTCTGCTATGTATGTGCTAACTAGTAACTCAGCAGTAACAGCAGCATTAGTTCACAGAGTGCAATCTTATTTGATGCTTTTTTTTTCCATGTCTACCATACAAACTAATTATTTTTTGTACAAATACGATTAGTCAAGTTTTTCCAAATAGCTTATTGTTGCTATTTAACGGTGTAACCGTATAGGGACATAATTTTTTTTTTTTCATTTTATATACCAGTTGTCAGCATTATGTCATAATATCAGCTGGACTCTATGACAAAATCCCTACTCATATGTTGATATCTCGCAATGTATTTTGTGATTCCGTGTGTTCACCCTGTGCTACCTTATGCTATAAGTTCTTTTATAAAAGGGGAACTTAAAAGCATTAGAAAAGGTCAATGGAAAATGTGAAGCAAATGCTCATAAATTTAAATCCATAAGAAACTTCGATGGATGGCCAATTCAGGGATAAAGTGCTGTAGCTGGCTAGATCATACAGAATCTAAAACACACAAAAAACTACATTCAACATCTTTCATGCTTTATAAGCAGGGGAAAAAGAAAACATTAATTTATGTGCTGTGACTTCACACATATTTAGCTGGTTAGTTTGCACTCTCCTAAGAGTCCCTAAAAATAAACTGAAAATGTCTTAAACTACTCATGGCAAATAGAATGGCAGGAAAACTCTATTGTTTCCAAATGTGCATTGAAACAAATGAGTGAACATGAGGCTGCTCTATAACAGAAAGTGTCTTAACGGAAGAACTTACTGAACTCAGACTGAAGTCACGTGAAAGTAAGACAGTGAGTCTTGCTGGCTTAACAAGGTTTTATCTGTCCATACAAAGGCAGCACCTCTTGTTAACTTCAGAATACATGTTTCAAAATTCAACTAATACAATTCTAGCACATCACTTATTTAAGTGAAAAGTTATTGAAAAGGCAATACAGGTAGAGATTAATACAGGTCTGACTCCTGTGACATTTCTGCTTTGAGTAATATGAAGACAAAGGCAGAACAAATGTTTGAAAAGTTCACTGTCTGACCCACCCTGAAATACCAGGCTGTTTCCAAAATTCAGGTTAAAGATGTAGAAATGTATTTATCAAAAGGGCGAGGAAAACTTGAAACTTAGGTGTCAAAGGCAGACTAATGACATTCTGTAAATTTAAAATACTTTTAAATTTTAGTTAATTCAGGGCTCTTCCCTTGCTGCTGCAAAAAGAAAGTGCAAAAACTTAGTCTTCTCATTCCTCTGAAACAGAGAAACGTGATGCTGTTTGTGGGCCTTTTTATTTACACACATTCCAAAGTTAGTTCACTGTTAAGAAAAAAAAAAAAAAGTAATTCATGTACTATATCTGTATCAGCAAACGGCCAGGGAATATCATCTGTAAGTGTAAAACAGAAAAAAAAGTACCATCTAAGGTATCTTTCCTCACTTTAAACATGTAAGCTGCAAATGAAAATAATCGGTGTGTGATTATGGACAGATGTTGCACTGTTCCTTGTAAACCTTGTCATCTTGTTGGTCTGCCGGTCTTTGAATGAGCTCTGCTCAGGCTGCCTGTGATTTAAATGCACCGTTTGAGGACAGGTAATGCAGGTATATCTTTTGAGGAGGTGCTTGTTCAGGAAGGATGTAAACACTGGCGAAGAGTTCTATGCCTTTCAGGTACAACTAAGATAATACACAGCTGACAACTCCTCGTGACTCTTACCTTGGCCAGCTGTGCTTGGAGTTTGTTCTTTGCATCAGCTACTTCAGCAATACGATTGTTAAAGGCCAAGTTGGTACTGATGAAATGATTCCACATCTCCTCAGATGTGCTCTCCAGTCCAACCTCTGCATCCTCTCGCAGCTTGACAGAGTTGGCCCTTGCATGTTGAGAGCACCTGATATTGTCTTCACTGAATTTAGCCCACGTTGCAGGAACTGAAACACTAGTAAGAAATTTAAAATAAGGGGAAAATTGAAAAATAAAAGCTTAGGCAAGCTATTTTCTGTTCGGAGCTAATTACACTAAATGTTGATCCATTAAACTGTGCAAACTGTGTAATCACGTACATCAGGTGATTCTATGGGTTTCACACCCACTTTTTTTTTTCCTTTTTCCTCTACAAACCAAAGATTTGTCAACAACAACTTAAAATTTTGGAGAGCTGTTGCTTTGACAGTTTCTGTGGCTTGCTTGAATATTGTAGCTGCTAACTAAAGGTCTTAGTGGCCCTGGCGTCAACTCCATACATTTTGCTGTGTAGAGAATGACCTTTTCTTGCATACTTTTCTTGCATTTCTTTTCATACTTTCTCCACACAAAACTTCCTTCTAAGGATTATGCCTATACGTTAAACTCTGCACGGACAGGTCACTATTTATTGTTTCACATTTACTTTAGATTTTTATTGAACACTGAGAATAAATATTAAGGGATGCAAAAAGAAAAAGTTAATTTTGTCAGTGCTTGTTTTCACAGGGGCCCTTTTTTCAGTTTTTCAAAAGGTATTCCTCTCTCTCCAAACTGAAGTACTGATCTTCCTAAACGAGTTGGAATTCCTTAGTACCACACATTTATTTAAGCAGTTTCAGGTAACCGACATGATACCATAGTAAAGTGCATAAGTCAGGGTACTAAACCTGAGCAGGCATTACAGCTACTGATCCAGGCAATCTCAGTGTACTTTCTGTAGGGTATTTGGTTTGGGGTTTTTTTTTCCCCTGCTATGGTCTGATGATTATATTCATATTCTCATCAGAAAATTAAATTTCCAAGTAGGTTTCCATCTGGACTATTTGAAATACTTAGTATTTAATCTATTTTTTAACATTGCTTTTTCGACTGTAATTTATCTGGCTGGCTCTGCTGAGGCAGAAAACACCTGCTCTGCTCTTGAGTACTGCAGGTATGTCTCAGTCTGACAAATGATTTTGGGAAAATATTAATGAAAAACGGCATTTCTTTCAATAATGGTTGGTGAGAAAGGAAAAGGGCTGTAAAACTTATCCACATGAACCTGCTTGTTACCAGAGCTGACAAGAATAATTTTATTCATTGCTAATCCTAAAAGTAGGTAGTGTTACTAGAGTCAGCAGAATGCCTGCCAAGTTTCCTTCGGATATGCCCTCATTTCAGTAGTGAATGAGGTGATCTTTTAATGAAAAACAGAACATAAGTAAACAAATAATACTTATTTTTTTGCTTCTTCTAGCAAGACAGAGTTGTTATCGTTTGGGATTGTAGAGCACATTCTCCATTCAAATATTGCTACGTTAAAGAGTGACAAGGGAACTAACAAGTCATTAGCACAAAAACAGTGCCCTCTATTGCAAGCTGCTTTTCTTCTGCTACTGCTTTTGGATTGGATGCAGGTCTCGATGAGGCCACTGCTAATAAACAGTTCTAAAACTGTATACAATTGGGGCACTTCAGTAATTTTAGTTCAGTCTAGTCCGTAATGCTAAAGCTGTGCTCAATCTTTTTATCACCCTGTTTAATACGTAACTCTGTATAGCTTGATGGCCTAATTTCCAAATAACCCACGCGACTTTTACGAAAAATATATATGGTCGTTGGTGTACACTTGCATGCTGTTTACCACATTGCACACCTTAGCTGAATTTTAATTTGACCGGATGTGGTTTTGAAACCTGAAGGCCACAAAACATTATCAATCAAAACCAAGGGGAGGCATCTGCAGAACGGAGTTTGAGGGCAAGGAGCCAGCTGCGACGCAGTGGAGGACGATCGTCCTGGCCGAAGAACACGGCTCCCTGCACATCAGTGCTGTAGGTGCTGCAGACTGCCAGCTTCTGCCCGGCCTCCGACAATGGAGCCGTTAGGAGGCAGGGAATAACTGGGCAGGATGGAGGGTTTCACACCAAGGAAAGACAGGGCCATATGGAGAAAGAAGCCACTTCTTTCTATGTTACTTCTCAAAGATAAGGCTAGGACTTGTGCTGTAATCAGGGAGCAGGGAAGGAGAAGGCTACAATAGCCACCCATACTCACGTCTCATCTGCTTTCTCCACTCCATGGTAAAAGCTGATGCTGTCCGATGTGTTCCTCAGATTAAAGCACTTCTCATCAATAAAATGGGCTGACGTTTTGTCAGAAAGATCCTGCTCCAGGGCATGCTGTGCATCTCTGTTGATGCTGCGAAGGGGAAAGAGTTACCTTAATCTGAACCACCTTTAATGCTGTTGTGCTAAATAGCTACTTGCTTTCCTTAGCTTCCTACAATGCTTCATTTTATAGTTTGTTGGCATTTACAGTGGCTTGAAAATGCTCGGTGCTGTAACTTAGCTAGAGGGGGCGGCTGTACCATTCATCCCTTTTAGCCTCTAGTGAGTATCGCTCAAAGAATTGCATTTAAGTCACTGCATTTAATAATGTTTGTCATTTTGATGACAGACAACCCCAAGGGTGAAAAATACCAGGTGGTTGTTGTGTGGCATGAAGGAAAGCCTCAGAGCAAAAGGGAGGAGGTTTTCAGTGACAACCTTCACGCTAGCAAAGCTGTCAGTGAGCAAGGGCAGACCAGAGTTGTGGCTTCCCATTTCTCCTGATTTGGGGGACAAATTCACTTAGCATAATTCAAATTGCCTGGCACCGGACAATCTTTTTAAATATTTCTGCTCATCTTGATCACGAGGAAGGAATTATGTTGCTCCATCTGCTTTCTTACCCACAAGGAATTTTTGGAGTAACTTAATCTCCTTTGGCCCTTCCGAAAGGGGAAAGGCCTGGCAGACCTTGGGATAGAATGGGGGTAATATGGACGAAGCAAGAACTGAAGTCTTGCTTTCCGGTGCATCGGGAAGACAGCAGACATATTGACATTTTTTGCAAATATCGTTGTTTCTGTGATGTACTTGTCAACTGGTATTACTATCAGTCTGCCTGCTGTGGTGACAGAACTGAATCAAAGGTAACCAGAAATGCCAGCCTGAAGAGCTAGACAAAGTTCATGCGACCAAGTGTGAATTTAGCCTTTATCTGATCATATACCTAATATGTTACAGTAGTGGGATGAACAGCAGAAATGCATCTAACCTAACTCATACGAGTCCTGTGTGCCATTAATAAAAGCAGCTGTTTATAAAATCTACTTATGTCTTTTTTTTCTATAATGTATTAATCAAGAACTGTACAATTTATCTTTATCTTCCTGGGGAGTACTTCACAGAATCACAGAATCATTATGGTTGGAAAAGACATTTAAGGTCATCAAGTCTAACCATCAACCCAACACCACCAAGCCCACTAAACCATATCCTGAAGCGCCATGTCTACACATGTTTTGAACACTTCCAGTGATGGTGACTCCACCACCTCCCTGGGCAGCCTGTTCCAGAGTTTGACCACTCTCTCAGGAAAGAAATTTTTCCTATTATCCAACCTAAACCTTCCCTGGCGCAACTTGAGGCCATTTCCTCTCGCTCTATCACTAGTTACTTGGGAGAAGAGGCCAACACCCACCTCACCGCAACGCCCCTTCGGGTAGTTGTAGAGAACTTAAACTGTTTCTTTTGAGAATCATGTCATGTCATATAAACATGACTTTTAAAATTTGTATCAGTTCTGTGTAGTTAACAGAACAGTCTATTCAGAATAGCTTTACCTAATTAAATTGTAAGAATTAAATATAATTTGCATTTACTAGGATATTTATGTACTCTCAAAGAAATAAAATAAATTCCAAAGCCTCCCATAACAAAAACCTATATAAATATACATAAAAATAATTGAAGTTCATTCCATAACTCATCTCATACCTTATGATGTGTTTAGATTCCCGTTTCTTTTGTCAATAATAATTTTCCTTTGAATGTAGTTTTGTAATTAAAAAAAAATCCCTTTGAACTTCACTCCAATGCGCCACATAACAACATTGGCACAACTAAGCTATAATTTTGGTGTCCCTAATTTTAATGAAGGATTTCAGATTAAACATGACTTTGAAAATTGAGTCACAGCCATGTTTAAATGGTAAGTATTGCTCTTCTGCAGTTTAACATACAAATTCTATCATTGGTGAGAATTAGACGTGGAGGGCGATGAGCATCTAACAGGCTGTCTCTGATTTTGCCTTTGCTATTTTTAATCTGTCATTAGATACTAGCCAACACTGAATTCAGTTTTCCTATCTTTAAACCAGGAATTAAATATAAAGTCTTACCCCAACTGTTGACTAATTTTCTGTGCAAGTTTTGTCAATATTTCTTGACAGTCCTTGAATACATCAACCTCCTGCAGTGGAAAATATAGAGTGTCAGCCCTTTCATGAAACTTCATTTGTTTTAGTGAATTTACCCTTTTAATTCTGCATTGGAGATGTTGCAACCATCTCGCGTATCTCAGATGCAGTGTTGGTCAAAAAAGGATGTGTTTTGGTCCCTCTCTTCATCAGTGCTAAAAAGTTGTATCTTTTGACTTGGTTGTGTATGTGTTTTTATATTATATCAAACCTGTTAGTAGATTTTATTGGATGGAGTCATTCTAATAAACATAAGGTCACATTTTGCTTGGCTTAAGTATAATGAAGATACTTGAAACATGAACCTTAATCCATTAAACTACCCTCTCTAACTACTACTACATTTTTCTAGAACAACACAAATATTTTGCTAATAGTGGAGTAGGTTGAAAATATATCTGATTTCAGTAACAGGCTCCCTAAGGAGGTATATTGTAATATTCTTCAAAACTATAAATATTAGTCAAAGAAATTCAAAGCCAGGCTCCACTCAGCTTAAAATAAATAAAAAATACTCAAACCAACCACATTGAAAGCTATGCAAACACAGTAATTACAGTCCCTCAAACAACGTAATGGTGTTCCAGCCTTTTGCCTTTTTAAAAACTGTTTTAGTCCAACATACCCTCTTACCTAAGTGTGTGCAGTTTGTGAGTTTTGAAACGGGGAATTAAGTGTTTTAAATTGTTTGGAAGTCATTAAGACACCCCAAATTTAAAAATACAAACTCTGTCTCTGTACTTGTACAGTATGCGTAGGAGTGACAGCAACTTTAGAACTGGCCTTTCTGTTACACAAAATGAGCCTTTGTTGTCCTTTATTGTCTCTCTCTAGCTTGCTCCATAGTCAGAGCAGTGCTTGGGGAAGTCAGGCAAATAGTCTTTATTTTTCATTTTGAAAAAACAGTCTTTTCATCTGTTCCTGTGGAACATTTAGCAGTATTTCATCCTATCCTGAATTCTCATGCTAAATTAAGTGCTGAAATAATTAAGCTATTATAAATTAGCTCCTTGATTCTTCATTAAAATTATAAAATCCCAAGGCTGTAGGCTCTGAACAAGCGTCTTGGTTATCCAAGTGGTCTGCACATCTTTCTGTAACGTATTAATCTAGAAAAGTCCTTGAAGCAATGCCATTGTCCCATAATGTTCTTCTCTTAGTGTTTTTGTTCTCATACACATCCAATATAACTTCTTTCAAATACGCTAGCAAAATGTTATTTGATTATTTTTTTATTTAAAAGATTTATCAATCACTACTATCCGTTGCATTTTATTTGTTCAGTAACACCGTATATATAGCAAGGCAGTAAACCAGCATTTTATATTGTAAGTCTTCGGAGATATTATAGACCATGGCCCAGAAAACAATCTTGAGAAGTGTTTCTACCTTGTTTTATAGGATCAAGGAAGATAGAACTGGACAAGAACTCACAAGGCTGCTAGGCTATTCTTTTTGCTCTAGGAAGGATGAATAGAACATTAACCATCCCCAATACATATAGTTTTATCAAATTTCTTCCTCTTGTCCCCTGCTCTCAGTCTTCCAAATGAATGAAAGGAATAAATTACTGCAATGTTTTTACTGTGATAACTAAAATCCAACTAAATATTTATTTTCACAGTTTGAAAAACAAACATCTAAGTCTGGTCTTACCTTTATGAGGTTCTTCTCCACATTGTCATGAACTAAGTCTATACCCTTCCGCTTCTCACGGTGGTACAGGCATTCTAGGGCTCTCTGCAAGCAAACAGAGGAACATTTGTAATAGGCTCAGTGCAGCGTTGTGGAGTGAAGCCTTGAACCTTGCTGAAGGGGCCACTGAGCTGACATGTCAAGTAAAGTCGGTCTGTTGAGGGTGGAACAGAATAGGAGGTGGCTTCACTGTGCTCAACTGATCCATCTTAGTGGCTCATTCCTACTTACCTGTTAATACATACGTTTAAGGATTAGCTGCCACCATAGCTGCCATTTGATTAGCTGCTTATTAATGTGCAGCAAGGCCTACATCTCAACATGCCCAAGCTTTGTTGTAAATCGTGTGGATTAAAACACCTGTGTTGTTCTACACTCATCCCTAGAAAAATCCTTTAATCTCATCTCTCCTCATCCTCCCGTGCCCAATGCCAAAGTTTAGAAGTTCCTTACCTGTACAAGAGGATGACTGCATAATGACAGTCATTTAATAAGGAATTCAGTTAACCTGCCCCAGCAGGTTAACCTTACTCTTAATGTCTCATCCACCGGTTAAGAACCATACTAATAGATGAAACGGCATTAGCTGGCACAAAGCCTTTCAGCAGAAAGTGTTCCCTGAAGAGCAATCATGCTCAGCCTGCCACTCAGAATCAGTACAGATACAGACAACTAAAAAAGTCATCACTGAATACTGAATTTTGGTTTTCTATTTGTACTTGCCTGGAAACGTTTCTGATAGACACGGCTTCCATCAGCAATACCCCAGATGTTTATGAGAGAACTTTGACTCTAGTTTTTGCATGTTTTGAGTTTTTTGCTAGCATCATTCATTGACTCTTATTTTATTGTGGCTTTTTCTGTTGCAATTAATTTGCCTGTAAGATTCTGGAGAACTTCAGAATGTAACACAAATAATATGCTATCCTAAGTGAAAATATTTTTTTCACCAAGCAATAACAGAAAATTCAGAGCAGGGTAAGGATATGGGGATATTGCAGCTTAGAGGGCCATCTTCTGCTCTCCTGTAATGTACTGAGCTGACTAGCCAGTGCCTGAGGGACAGTCAGGCTCCTGGAGAGCCTCAAGCAGAAAAGAAGAAAAAAGAGGGCATAGAAGTGTCTTGATAGGTTCCTTTGTTGACTTTCATATGTAAAGCCCATGGTGGCCAGGTTTCCTTCTTACCGAAGGTAATGTTTCACCAAGATCTGTCTTGGTGAGTAAAAGTCATACTAGTATTCAACAGAGATAAAGCCATTTTCTTTACCCATTCCACAATACAGTCATGAAATAACTGGTTACATCAACCCCACCTTCAGTGGTCCTTGCATTTCATCTGCAGCACATTCGAGCCGCTGCTTTGCTGTCTCCAAGGCTTGGGTCTCTTTCAGCAGACACTCTAGCTCATAAATGAGCTCAGATCTCCAGAAATCAATGTTAGAGATCCTCTCTCCCAGGTTTCTTCTACTGTCTTCTTGCATCTGATAAGTCAGTTGATCTTTATCTTGCATCAGTCTCATTGAATCAGTGTTCAGTCTACTGGCACGGTACCTGGAGGCTTCAGAGCCTTTTAACTGAGCCATGTTCGCATGGTGCCAGTCTCGA